TATACATTGTGATATAACATGGATACAAAAGCTACCAAGTATATCACTGATAACCGAGCCAAAGAAACAATACGAACTCGACAGACAGAACAGGAAGAGAATCAGGAATCGAAGGCAGTGGAGGGGGGATGGAAGGGGCCAATGGATTCGGCGCGATACTTTATTAGTCTCAAACAACGCGGGGCTGATAGCCACGAACTTAGTCTCTCAGCTGTGCTATGTTCACATCCAGTATATGCATATGAACTACGATACGTGCGTTGCTTAAGTGAGAGTTGATCTCCTATAGTGTGGGTGCTCGTGCATAGCAACCTCTCCTTGAGCATATACCTAATTAATGTGCATGAGTGGTCCAGCCACTCCGCATTGGTTCCGTGGCTTGCGAATGCCGGGTAAGTTATATTGCGGTGGTAAGGCCAGTCCAGGCTTCTTCTATGCCTGAACCCGTCCATTGCTAGAATCAGACACTAACAGAACCTCACAAAGTACAACCCCACGCTGTGTGTAGCTGTGACCAAATACACGCGCGCTCAGCAACGCAATATGAGTGGGCGGAGGTGGACAGAGTTGAAATCGTCAAACCGATGTACAATGTGTTGTCTTCATACTAACTACGCCTCCTATCACATGCGCATGCAATGTGTATGATGGTGTGTGAAGTGGTACATCGCCCGTGTGTATGCATGTGTATATCTATGTTATGTGTCCGTTCTGTTGATAGTGTGTCTGTTTAAACTCTAAACTGTTCACTTTGATCATCGCCTCCACAGCCAGCCAGGATTCCCTCAAAGCTTCGATTCTCAGATCCTAATCACTGTAGATACGCACACAAACGTATACATACACATGCACACACACAAATACCCGCAGGCGGGACATTTATTGACGCAAGTAGGATTGATATAACAATCAGAAACATACATGTACGCACGCATGCATGTACATCACCAGGAGGGGGCGATAGATAGTATTAGCAGTTGGTGGGGCCACCTGTGCATGCGGTTACAACTCCGCTAGGCGTTGAAGCTGAAATTGAATTCCTGACACCGCTGCCAGATAAAAAGTGCTCGTATCGCATAACTTAAATATTATCTCAATATGAGGGTCCTAGCTCAACTATTTAGGCTTGGTGTGCTAAAAAAAAATTGCGCCCAAATTATCACATCAGTTAAGTGATACAGCATCTATGACTCAACAAACACGCATGCGAATGTTCACACCCAAAGCTTGCAGACTTACGATCTCGCTTGATATTTGACGACCTCGTACTCGTATCTCGAGGCAACGCTGCTTGAATGGCCGTTGACATGGCAACGTCGTCATCGTCATCTGAACACAAATCAATGACATCAGGTGTGGCACTGGCCTTGCCTGGTGTTGATCGCTTGGTGCTTTGTTGAGTACCTGTCAGATTGCCATGTGGAAAATAAAGAAACAGGGTTAAACGATGGTACTGAAGTGGCCCAGGGTAGAATAATGCTGTTCGGAAGAAAATATGTACTAGGCCCGCAATAAATGGTACCCTATTGGAATGAAAGGGTATGTGACTAGTGCATATGGTGGTTTTAAAGGTTGAAAGTAATCGACAAGACAGCCTTGCCATATTCGCTGAATTCATAGAACCCGAAGCGACATATAGTAGTGAAGTCCAGCCTTGGCATATAATAAATACACGTATTCAGTGCACAACCAGCCCTTTTTAGAGGCTATACTTCCGCACAAATAGCCCGAATTAAAAAAACATACTACGACACAACCAGCCCTTATTACAAGTTCATACTACAACACAACCAGCCTTATTACAAGGTCATACTACGCCACAACCAGCCCTTTTTACAAGGTCATACTACGCCACAACCAGTCCTTATTACAAGGTCATACTACGACACAGCCAGCCCTTATTACAAGTTCATATTACGACACAACCAGCCCTTATTACAAGGTCATACTACGCCACAACCAGCCCTTATTACAAGGTCATACTACAATGACCCTACCTTCTGCTTTGACAGGCGGCGTCGCACTCCCACCGGTGCTGCCATCATCCAGAATTTCTATGTTTTCTTTCTCATCCGAAATGCTATCGGGTGTACCTGGTATACTGGTGGCCTGCACCCGTTGAAATGTGTTTGAATGCCAATATATGAATAAATAAATCTGTATCTTTGAACAAATGACCGCAAGTGTACTGGGGGAACATTTCGACTTTGTCGTATTTGCCGAAACACGAAGCACAGGATATAAAGCAGTGGGTTGCGTGAAAAAGAGGTTGCGTATAATACCTTGGCTTTATCTAATTCAGTAGGACACTCTCGCTCCCCCGGTTTCACGTATACTTTATCGGCTGTTGTGCCAGCGATGACAGTTTGGTAGTGCCTGGAGGGTCAACGAATACGAGCGAGGATACGAGAGAAAATATAAAGGGGTAAGTCAGTTAAACCTCGAAATGTCAATCGTTTGGACTACATGACATCACCTAAAGACGATTTATACTTCAGAACAAGCGCTTTGAAGATCTGTTTCAGTCTTCAAAGCACAAAGCTTGAATCTACACGACGGGGTATTGGCCACCACAGAGACACACACAGTACACAGAAACCCGCCAACATGAAGCGCAACAGTCCATCACTCTCAACCTCTCATCCGCACACAAACACACAGCCGCGCCTCACGCTCAGTGAATTCAATTGCACACAACACGCTCGCACGCTCACAACTATATGGTAAAGGAGGGTCCTCCTGGCCCAAGCACTCCCCTTGTCTCGAAGACTGTGGTTCCGGCATCTTTGTATTTATCGAAGTATAAGATATAGCTCTATGCTCCTCTAACTAAAAGCTTAGCAAGATGACCACAAGTGGCAAACCATGTGGTAAACCTTTGATAACGAATACTTGCGAAAGTTGTTGTCACATACCCATCCACAACGAGGTCGTCGTATGGCACTTTCCGGTTGCAAACGGGGCACATCCATGCCGGCCGTCGCTCATTCATTGAGATATATATTCTGGCATCAAAACACTACGCGAAAAATAGATAGAAGAAAGGTGTTATCCATGAACAGAAGAGTAAAGGGACGGAAGCATGTGCATATAGATGCATATCCATGATTGTGTGTACTACTGAACATTGTGAACCGAATTTAAGAAACACAATACACACCATAGGATTAACATGAATCTGTGCGAGTTGAATATGTGCATATATACCACGCATGCAACATAAATTCATGTGTACAAAGCAAGTGAGTATGTGTGACAATCATTATCGACCATATGCATACATTAAGTTTAAAATCGTGGACATCGTGTATCTGAAACTAACTCGCGAAAACAATACATACTCAAAGCTGTCCGTGCATTGCGATTGAGGTAAACAATTAGATCCTACAACTATTCCTACAATTATATTTCGAGTGCAAATTTAGATATTCTATGATCATAATTGTATATGTACACAAAAATTGTATATTAGGTCAACCATAGACATGTGCATAAAGTCGAGCATAAACAAGCACATCCACGCAACCATTCAGTCTCATCACACAGTGAGGTATAGCATGCGTCCTCAAACACAACTTCAAGTCTCCAAAACAGATAAATACCTGTATAATCAACAGATAAATACCTGTATATAAAACAAATAAACACCTGTAAATGGGGACAGTTCAAGTCTCCAACACAAATAAATACCTGTATATGGGGACAGTTCTTCCCCCTGGCGGGATACTGCATACGTATACAGCCCACAGGGCACATCATGCTGATCTGGCTGGGTCCGCTCGAGATATCTGAGTCTGTGTCCATGTCTAAAATTGGTTTTAAAATTTTCTGCCACGCATTGTAGCCTTCGTCATCGGTCATGACGCGCACTTTTCGTATCAGGGTTTCAACCGACGAATATTGCACCAGCTAATGATGAACGCGATAGATAAGAGAGTAAAAACAAAACAAGCAGATGTTAAAAGGCTGGAATAGGGCCCACATATAGTCCGTCAAATGTGTTTCGAGAACAAGTGGGAAGAATTAACGTTGATATCATGGTGAACAGACTGCGCAGGATCGAACAAAGCCGCTGCAAGACTCGCATATATATGGCCAACTATATTCAAATGTTACCATCCAAATATCAAACCACCGTTTTAAAACACTAACCTGTATACACACATGGAACGAGAGCCGTGAACTCGCTCTTAGTTGTACACGATTCAGATCATGCAAACGGACATGTTCAGTAATATCCTTTGGTGTGTCTGCAACCTTCTTCTCTTTCTTCAAAGGTGGCTCTGCATAATCTTTGGAATGACTCTGTATCTGTACCCTCAATGCTTCCGGGAAGTGGTCCTGCACATGTTCAACATTATCCATGGAACTTCTTGAGTATAACTTATCATTCGCAGTCACCTCCATATACATTTACACACACACATCAACCAACAAATATGCATATATATATATATATATGTGTGTGTGTGTGTGTGTGTGTGTGTGTGTGTGTGTGTGTGTGTGTGTGCGTGCGTGTGCGTGTGTGTGCGTGTGTGTGTGTGTGTGTGTGAGTGAGTGTATGTGTGCGAGTATTTATATACAATATATACATATATATATTTATATGTATATAAATATATATTTGTAC